TGCTGCTGCTGCTGCAGCTGGTGCCGCCGCTGCTGCAGTTGCAGTTCCTCATCCTCCTTTCCAGGAGCGGCTGCGCAAATCCCACTCGTGGGTCGCCTCATCTGCTGGTTCGTCGCTGTTGAGGCGGCGCACGCATCTGGAGTTCCCTAAGCCCTAAACCCTAGACACCAAACGCTAAACCTAGATCCACGTTCCCGGCGGCTCGCAGCCCCAGAGCTGGCGAGCCTCTGCTGTACTGCTGGTCAGTCAACTTGGGTATTTAGGGAGAGTGACAGAAAAGGAGAGGAAGCCAAGGAAACCGTGTATTCAAGTTTGAGGTGTACATGCAGTTGGTGGCGATGAGGCGGGGCGGGCGTTGCCGCTGATCTCGCGAGGTTTGCGCAAATTACAACCTCTAAAAGAAACGACCATTGTAATTAGTTTTGGAGGTCGTTGTCTGGACTTCCAAGCTTTTAAATTTGCTGCAGTTGAGGTGTATGAGTAGCTCGTGGCGGGTGGTCTAGCGACGGGCCGGACGGAAACCCGAGAAGCACTTTAACTTCTTTCTTTGCTTTGCTTTGGATTTAATTCCGTCTTTTCTTTTGTTTATTCTTTCCTTCGCCTTGTTCTCGCTTTTTGTCCAAACAGCCGCCGCTTCCCATCGCATGCCGCTGCCGCCCGCCGATCAGTGGGCATGACGCCAGGTCGGCAGCGAAAGCTGCAGAATAAAGGGCTATTTTAAATACCAAATCAATGAATGAATGTAGAGTAAATCTATTATTAATGCTTATTTCCTTTCAATTGCGTTGAAAACATAGTTTCCCCCTATAACAGGTTTCCTACCTTCCGCTTATGTACTACCTACCACCTCAACAGACATCGCAGCCGTCGCCTTGCAGCTCTTTGCTGGCGTTCCTTATTCGTTTTTATTTGCCTTCCTACTTCAGTGCAGAGGAGGATTTATCACAATAATCCTTCTGCCCCCTGTATTCAATATCTTTTCCTCCCCAAAGCTTTGTCCCCTGCGGCGCCCAGCCTTTAAACGATGGGGAACGCCGCATCTTCCCCGCTGAAGTCCAGCAGCAGCAGCAGCAGTAGCAGCAGCAGCGAGAAGAACCAAATCAGCAAAGGCATCATCAGCAGCAGAAGCGACAGCAGCAGCAGGTTGCTCCCGGCCCTGGACTGGGAGGTGATATCATCAGACCCTCTATCTCGTTCTGTTGAGCTTCGAGCTGCAAAAGAAGATAAAGCTTGCTACCCTCTAGATGGAAGACCGGAACACGGCCAGTTTATTAACTCTCAGGGTTTAACGCTGCATTACTACATCTGGTACCCCGTCACGAGCAGCAGCAGCAACAGCAGCAACAGCACCAACAGCAGCAGCAGCAAGTGTTGCTGCGTCAAAAAGAAAAGAGAAGATGCGCCAGCAGCATGTCGCCTCTCAGGCACGCCCAACTTTCCCTTCACCAGCAGCAGATCTGCGCAGCAACAGCAGCAGCAGCAGCAGGATGAGCAAGACGTTGTAGAGGAGCTGTGCGTGCACTGCAAGCGCGAAGCAGCAAAGAACAGCAGAGGTGTTGTGCTGCTACTGCATGGGTATCAGTCTCACTCGCGCTTCTCTTGGCTTAGGCGTTATTCTGCTTCTCCTTCAGTTCGTAGAGACCCTCGCATTCACGGATATACACCCCACAGCGCGCTGGACAAACAATTACTACAGCAGCAGCAGCAGCAGAAGGAGCAGCAGCAAGAGCAGCAGAAGCATCAGGAGGAGGAGAAGGATGTAGGAGAGCAGAAGACATCTCAGGAACAGCCGATAGCGGTTAGAGCAGCAGGATCAACAGCAGCAGCAGCAGCAGGAGCAGCAGCAGGCTGCGGTTGCGTGGGGTGTCTAGGCACCCCTCAATACCGCGGCAGTATTGTTGAATCCCTCAACTTGAGTGGTTTTATTGTCTGCTGTCTAGACATGCAAAGCCATGGTCTATCTGAGGGCTGGGGAGGCTGCCGCTGTGCAGTAAGGGAATTAGAGGACTTGGCCCTCGACGCGCTGCAGATGCTGCTCGTACTTAAGAGGAAAATGTTGCTGCTGCGCAGCAGCAGCACCAGCAGCAGCAGCAGCAGGAGTGGCGGCGTAGAAGTACCGGCGCAGCCCACAAAGGAAGAGCAACAGCTGGCAGCAACAAACGAACAGCAAGAGCAAAACGCCAAGGAGAGCAAACAAGACGAGGAAGATGAGAGACAAAACAAACAGAAAGATGAACAAGACGGAGAGGAGGATAAACAAAACGCAAAAGAAGAAGACAAGTTGTGTTTGCTGCCAATTGATTCTTCTTTCCCTTTCTTTATCGTCGGTTCTTCTTTAGGGGGTTGGACGGCCGCGAGGTGTATGGAGACCTCTCAAGATACAGCACTCCTTCTCAATACCTTCCCAGAACTTGCTGCTGCTGTTGCTGCTGCTGCTTCAGGACAGCCTGCTGTTGCTGCTGCTGCAGCAGCGGAAAGCGCAGCAGCAGGAGCAACAGGAGGAGGAGCAACAGGAGGAGCAGCGGAAGGAACACAGGTGTGTGCTGCTTCGGATGCTTGTCGTTTGATTAGAGAGTATTTTTTTCTTCGGGGAGCGGTGTTGTTGTCTCCTATGTTTGATGTTGAGGAAGCAAAGCGCAACGTAAGGTGGACGTACACCAGACCGCTGGTGCAGCAGCTGGCGCGTTGGCTACCGCACATGCAAATCACTCGAAATAAATTAGAAACGAAATTCGAAACAGAAACAGAACATAGAAGAAGAGATCCGCTGTACATACACCACGGCACTCGCGCTAACACGGCGCTCCAGCTTCTGGGGAAGGCAGAGCTGCCTATACACCCCGAGGAGACAGCCAAAATAAACGAAAAGTGCTGCAAATCCCTCCTTGTCGTTCATAATGCTCTAGATGAACAGTGCGGAATTAGAGGCGCTTTGTCTTTCTATAAGGGACTCAGCGGAGTAATAGACAAAACTCTAATTGCTGTAAATGCAGTTCCTCCCTCAAGCAGCAACGCACAAGCAGAACCAGCAGCAGGAGCATCAGCAGCAGCAGCAGCAGCAGCAGAGGCGGACATGGCGAGAAGTGAGGAGGAGTTCAGACAAAAAGTGCCGCTGGAGCTGCAGCAAGAACTGCAGCAGCAGCACGCCGACTTGTCGCTCAATGGGCTGGACGTACACCACAGCTTCGCAAGCGAAACAGACGGAGACCTCATTTTAGCCAAAGTTGTTCAGTGGATAGACGCTCGCGCACCCTAACTAGCTAGCTAGGTAGCTAGCTTGCTAGCTGGATGGCTAGCCAGCTAGCTAGCTGGGCGTCATCCCAGCCAGAGTTTTACAACGGCTGGATGCACGCGTCCCCTATCTAGCTAGCTAGCTAGCTAGTTGTTTGGATGGCTATCTGGATAGCTAGGTAGTGGAGGCTGAGCTAATTCTTTTTGCATCGATGTTGAGGTGCATATGCAAAAGGTTTTCCGGTTGGGTGTATCTGCACGCACTTGTGCTTTCGTTGTGGTGTAGGTACAACATCACCCCTCACAGCAATGCAGTACTTCTCCAGATATTCCAGATGCAGATTGGTTTTATATGGTGCATGAATGCGTGCAGACTGCATACATGCAGGCTGTATGCATGCAGCAGCCCTCTCGGGTGTATGGTCGCCACAACCTGCTGGCAGTTGGCTGCAGGGGGCTGAGTCCGTGTCCTCTATAAAAATTGATTATTGAATGTATGTTTATTGATTCGCTTGTATGCATTGTATATATATATCATACACGTATGCATATATATATATATATGCATTATTTATATACACACTTTTATCCTACACACAAATTACTGTTTGTACTATTGGTGTAAATGTTGTTTAATATTTTTGAACACAATATACGCGTATGACAGTCAGTAGTATTATATATATGCTACTATTTAATATTATTGGATGTATGCGTAATGATGCTTCATGAATATGCCTCGCCGGAAGTTTTACGGTGTCCAGACACCTCAAGCACTGGTCTTTCAACGGAAAGAATTGGCTGTTTTTTTATAGCCAAAGAACTGCCTACTTAAAATTCATTATATTATATAATAAGCAAAGGCTTGCATATTTCCTTGTATATATAGCCAGCAACTGGCTGAACTGCCGCTGTTGTTTGCGTCGCGGCGAACCCGTCGCATCTCCGTAGGCATCCTGCTGCGTGCAAACTGCTCTGGCACCCAGGGCTGCGCAGCTGGGACGCCCACCAGCTTGCTAGGAAGCTACCTAGCCAGCTAGCTAGAATAGCAAGCCAGCTAGCTAGATAGCTAGATAGACTTCCAGCTAGAGTAGAAAGCCAGCTAGCTAGATAGTTAGACGGACGGCTAGCTAGGCCAGCTGACTAGGCTAAGCTTTTTGGCGATAGAGTAGTACGTTTTACACATCTCCCGCTTCATCTTTGTAACGGGTAGCTAGCTATCCAGCTAACTAGGATTCACGCTGACTAGCCAAACAGCTGCATAGCGAGAGCTTGTCAGCTAGCTAGCTAGCTGGACACCGCACACCGATAGGTAGCGAGCTCCGTCGGAATGCAGAGAAAGTGCTATAAAGCATCCTGTTGCATAAAGACCTGGCAGCTTTATCAAGCAGACGGTGATAGCTGCTAAGAACACCAATAGACGGCAACTGTATTTACAGCACTAATATTGAAACCGCAATAAAGAACAAAATAACGAACAGCAACTTAACTGAACCGGCTGAAGGGAAGCTGCCAACAGCCCCAGTTCGCTTACCCTAAAAGAAAAAAGGAGAGGAGAAAGAAGACAAGAGAGAAGAAAAGGAAATGTAAGGAACGAAAGAAAGGAAGGAGGGGGGAACGAAAGAAGAAAAGTAAGGTAGAAGTAAAGGAAGAAAGAAAGCGAAAAGAAAGAATGTCTTTGATGCTGTTTCCAATACCAGGGCATCCTCTGGGGTGTCTGCACCGTTGTCGTTTAGAACAACGGGACACTTGAGGCCCCTAAACCCCCCTACAACAACTACTTCGTTCGTGGGAGAGGAGCTGGCTCTCTCTCTATCTTTATCTCTCTCTATCTCTATCTCTGTCTCTATGTCTGTCTGTCTCTATCTGTATCTCTGCACCTCTCTGTCTCACTGTCACTGTCTCCATCGCTGTCTCCTCCTCTGTCGCTGTATACACGCGCACTATTTATTGATGCTGTTGCTGCTAGAGTGGCAGCAGCTGCAAGCATCTCTTCTAAATGCATAAGTATTGGTGTGTAAGAAATGTCTGTCTAGGATTTGTGTTGTTTGGCCTGGTGTTTATTTCTTGTCTCTCCTTGTATGTACTACAAGACGGCATTTAGCTAGCATAGCCTGACCTCCGCCTTTGTTTATCTTCCTGCTCTTTACATACATACATATACATATATATATAAATAGACATATATATAGACATAAATATACATGAATATTCAAGCTGCTGCTTTAGGCCTTTGTCTCCTCTTGCATCTCCTCCTTTGCCTCTTCATCTCCACCGGCCTCCTCAGCAGACGCCGCCTCCTTGCAGCTGTTCTTTGGAGATCCCTCAACCTCCATTCCTTCTGCTTCGCTAGGCGCAGCTGGTGGTGGTGCTGCAGCAGTAGCGGAAGCAGCAGCAACAGCAGAACCATTAGCAGCAGCAGCATGCACAGCAGAAACAGAAGCAGCAGAAGCAGCAGAATTGATTTACAGAAACGGACCACCGAATGACCATACAAACCAAGCTCAATACGCTACATAACCCTAAACCCTGAGCTCTAAACCCTAAATTAAACTGAACAACTCCGTTCTCCGCAAACTCCTACCTAAAAACCCTCCGAGTCGGTGGCAGCAGCAGAAGCAGCAGAAGAAGCAGCAGCAAAAGCAGCAGCAGAAGCAGCAGCAACGCCAGCACCAAAAAACAGACAAACAGACGAAAGAAGAAACAAACAAGCAAACGAAAAAACAAAGCAAGCAAAACGAACGAACAAAGAGACAAAGAGGACGAACAAACAAAGCAAGCAAACAAACAAAGCAAGCGAATGAACAGAGAAAAAGAAACAAACAAACAAAACAAAGCAAACCAAACAAAACAAACAAAAGAACCCTCACGTTTGGGCTTAGGAGTTGAGCAAATTTTTCTCGCGAGGATTTCCAAGTCACTTCGCCGCTGATCGATTGTCTCAGCCAACACCGGGGGGTTTGCTGTTAGAGGCATTGCTGCTGCATCTTGCATCTATAAACAAAAGAGCAAACAAGATAAACGAAATAAACACATGATCGCACGCGAAACACAAAAACAAACAAAACATTCAACAGGAATTGGGGCTGTATGCATGCAGGCATGCATGCAGGCTGCTCGACTCTACGGATAAACAAACAAACACCAAACCCTAAACCCTGAACCCTAGACCCACGAGCAACCAAGCCCTACACCCCAGAACTAGATATGCAAAAGCAGATATACCATGGAAGATAAACACAGGCAACAGAGATTCAAACACTTCTTCTGGAGTGCAAAGCGCATACACCCCAACTAGGGTTTAGGGCGTAGGGTTTGGGCGTACGACTTTGTTCAACCAGCCTTCATCTGCCTCTGCTGCCTGCAGCAGCTGCTGCATCGTCTGCTGTTCAATATGAGCATACTCTGGAGCCCCTCCGGTGGCAATCTGGCGGCTTTCCTGGTGCACAAACACGGCAGCAGAAAACCACGAGGTGTAATTACAGCTCGGCACCACATACCACAAGGTGTGCATACACCTCCGCACCACACACCACAAGGTGTACATACACCTCAGCACCTCTAAACGTGAGCGGTACAGACATCTCAACAGCACACAGCAAAAGGTGTACAGGCACCTCGCTAGCACGCAGCACAAGGTGTAGATACACCTCAACGCAACACGAGGCAAATACGTCTTTGCTTCCCCGGCGCAACCCCAGCACGGTAAACCCTAAACCCTGCGCCCTGAGCCATTATCATTCCACGGCCCCTCTCAGCTCTGCTGTTGAGAGTGGTTTATATTTTTATGGCCACAGGGCTCAGGGTTTGTAGCAGCTGACCCGAATGGTTGCGGCGAGCTTTTCTGCTGCAGCTGTCCTCAGTTGCTGCTGCTGCTGCCTATGTTGCACCGGCGCAGCCGCCCCCTTGAGAGCATCTAGCTTTGCTACGACTGCACTTTTAGGAAGCTGTGGATCATCCTGGTGATCGTACACCCAGTTTTCAAGTTCTTCGAGCAGACGCAACAAGGCTTCTTTCTCTCCTTCGGTTGCAAACGATCCTAAAGAGGCCCCTAAACCCTCGCGCAAGGAATATATTGTTGTCTCCAATTCATTTAGCCTCTCTTGCTTCTCACGATACAGCCGATCTTCGTTGTCCATTTGCAATTCAAGTTCCCTATACACCCGAAGCGTCTCCGCAGATAAACGACCTGCAAACGCCACCGGCTGTACAGACAGCTCCGTCACCTTCACCTTCGCTGGTGCAACAAGAGGAGGAGAAGCAGCAGCACCAGTAGCATCTCCTGCTGCTGCATCCTGTTGTTGACCCTGACCCTCTTGCTGCTGCTGCTGCTGCTGCTGTTCACCGTCTGAAGCCGCTGGAACCTCCGGCGACGGCGTGTTTGTCGCTGTTGCTGCTGCTGCTGCTGCTGCTGATTGCGGGGAATTCTTCTCTTCTGCTTCTACACGCTTCATGCATGCCCTAGGGAAGCGAAGCAACCCGTTGTAATTAACAGAGCAAAAGACATGCACTTCTTTCTCGCCACTCCCCTCAGGTAACTCCACGCGACAACCCCCTGCACACAGCAAGCAAACATGTAACACCTAAGTAGACAGGCAAGCAGTCATTACAGTCAAGCAACCAGCAAAATGAAAACAGACAACTCACAGATGCATTATCATAAAAGGAACAGAGAGGCGCCTGCAAAGCAGATAGCGGCCAATTAAAAGCCAATAAAGAAAATAGTCAAATTAAAACAAAGCAAAAATACGGACAGACAGCTGCGACTTCGTCACATCTCTTTTCTATACCAGTGACTTCTTAAACATACACGCATATATACATATATAGACATGTATGCACGTAATGTGCATATGTTAAACATATATATATACATATATATATATATGTATATATATAACATGTGTACTATACATATAATAGTGTGTTTTAACAACATAATAAATACACTCTATGCACATTACATACACGCAACCATGCATGTATATAAATATAAATATGTATATATACTATATGTAGTTAAACACATATATATTATATACACATATATATATAATACTTATGCATGCAGGCACAGAGATATATAGTTGTATACGGATAGATAGATACGCATAGATATGCATATATATGCAAACATATGTATCCTGGATATAAAAAAAGCATTACCCAGATCTGCAGCCCTCGTTTTCCCCTCCAGGTCTTTGTACGTCGCATGCAATTCAAGAGGACAGCTTCTAATGAAGGTGATTTTTCGCATTGTGTTTGTGGGGGTGCCGATCGGCAGCTCTATCTCCTGACAAGAAGCTACCGCTGCACCCTCAGTCTGCTGCTGCTGCT